ATGAACGGGGCAAGGCTAGGTGCATATGCTCACGGCATGTAAGTGAATAGTTCAGGACGCTCAGACTTCTGGGTTTGGGTTTAGGCAGTGTAGGTATTGTTAGCGAGAAGAGGTAAGGTGCATACTAACGCGTCAGCGGATGGACAGCATACGCTCCGGCCTCAGCGACTCGCTGCGGTGGCCGAATAGCCGACCAAGCCGGGTTAGCGGCAGGACCAAAGCGCTGCCCGAGCGTGTCGCCGACTCCACCACGGTCGTTTGCAGACCCGCATCATCCGGAAGAGTGCGGCGCAGTGACTCAACCACACAGCGTGTCAGAAGTGGCTCATGAAAAGGTGGCTCAAACGACGCGGTGGCTCAGTCGCCAATCAAGCGCATAAACGGCTGGGGTTCCGCGACACATCACGGCCGTGCTAAAAAGGCCGTCTGTGAGGGAATAATCTTCGAACAGCTCACTGCATATCCGAATAGGAGATTGCGTCACGCTCGGCTGCCGGCTTGTGCGCTGCTCAATTACTGGATAGTCGGCATGCCTGCCAGCCGCCTGCTGACTGGCTTTTTGCTGCTGGTGTTTCTTCCCTTCTTTCCTTCTTCCTCATTCTTGTTGATCGGTCCAACTGTTGACTCCCTTTACTTACTTACTTCTGCCTGACTTGCCTTGACCATTGTTTATATAGTGAAAAGGTGCTGCGCTTTCCCTTAATGGTATACGTCTAGATCCACCACTTTACCAGAGCAACCACACACATCACATTGCCAACCATGGCCACCATTTCACAATCCAAGCGACCACACTTCCTCAGCAACAACCGAAGTGGGAGCAGCGTCTCCTCACGCTCCTTCTCGGCACCCGTTGAACACTCTGTAAGGGAATACCCACGTGTCTTCCAGGGCACCGATGCCGTGCCTCAGAACCAGAGGGTAGCCCTCCACCGAATCATCGACACACACCAAGCTCTCGATCTCAAGTACGAGCAAGAGCAAGTCTCCACACCCACCAGCACCACAAGCGGACGGCCAACGTCCTCCTCCTCCTCCATCCTATCCAACGACCCCTTCACCCTCGACCTCAGCAGCCTACCCGTCCAAGACGCAGAAATACGAGCCTTCCGCTACCTCCTCCGCCTCTGGGATCCCAAATCCTATCCCACAGACCCAGAATTCGATGCCGCCATCGCTCCTCGCAAAGCACAGTTTGAGGAAAAAGCAATGAAGCACTTCATCAACCGGGTGGCGCTCTGGGACGTAAGCGGCGACGCAGGCCAGGGCATGACTCGGAGCATCTTTGCTTTCCGGCGGAGGCGCTCACGGGCGAAGAGCGTGTCACAGACGCTGAACGAGGGGGCGGACGAAGGACGGGATGCGCTTAAGGAGGCTACGACGAGAGAGGGCCTAGCGCAGCTCATATGGACACTGCTGCACGATCCCAAGGTGCTGAATGAATCGGCGCTTGGGGAGAGGTGTATGGAAGCGCTGAAGGAGATGTATCGATTGACATCGCCGACGGGTTGACTGCGTAGTATGCGCGTTAAAATATGTAAAAGATTTATTTTTCTTGAGCGTTGTTTCTTTTTTTTCCTTCTTCTTCTTCTCTTTGAGTACATATGTGTATTATTGGATTTTCTGGGCTAATAGTGCAATGTGGAAAATCATAAGGTTAATGGAGATAGGGGGGGTTACATGCAGATCAAAAAAAAGGGATGCAGTTGTGAAAGTAAAGCTTTGTGCTCAATCATGTGACATGCATGTCCTGATTAAGTTCCCATCTTACTATTTCGAGACTCGGGAGCTCGTTAGGTGACTTTTGTTTCGATATATCACGAAATCCAATATACGAAATGTGACTTTCATAGAAGAAGAGACGTTGTGTAAACCCTCTCCCCTCCCCCCCCGCCTCTTGCCCCTTATCGATGCCATTATCAGTCCCAGAAATATGACGTCAAGTGATCATCCCGCTTTTTTCTTTGCGGTTTCGGCCGAGTTGCTGTAAACCAAACACGTTTCTAAACCTGCGCCTGTCACATACAGTACAAATAAATATACACCAAATCAACGATGCCATTTCTCCAACTTGGATACAAGCGGATTCACTATGCGGACCTGTCGCCGACGAACAGAAAGACGCGGGAGACACTAATCTTCATGCATGGTCTGGGCTCGTCGCAGAACTACTACTATGCAGTATGCCAGCAGCTGGTTAGAAGCGGGTTCCGCTGCATAACCTTTGATAACACGGGCGCTGGGCGCTCGCCGTACACCTTTGTCGAGCAAAGTATTGAAACGCTGGGCGAGGATGTTATGGGCGTTTTGGATGTCCTGAAGGTGGACAAGGCTGTCTTTGTGGGGCATAGCATGGGAGGGTATGTTTCCCATTTGCGCCCAGCACAACTAAACATTCATGGGGAGTTTTTATTAAAAAAAACGAGACATGATGAGCTAACTTCTGCTACGGGATCGTGGGCGCGCATCTTGCTGCTGAGCGTAGTGATCGCATTGTTGCAGCCATCCTTATCGGCCCCGTCTATCCCAACCCGGGGGCAGTAGGACCTATTTTCGAGAAGCGGATTGCGAGTGTGGAAAAAGAGGGCATGCAGCCCATGGCAGATAGCATCCCGCAAGCGGCAGTAGGGAGCAAATCTTCCCCGCTTGCTAAAGCGATGATCCGCGAGTTGCTGCTGTCACAGGACCCAGCTGGTTACGTATCCAACTGTCGAGTCATCATTAATGCCAAAGTGCCTCAGTACGGCGACATCGGCGTGCCTGTTCTGATCCTCGCGGGCGAAGAAGATAAAAGCGCGCCGCTGGAGGGTTGCAAGAAGATGTTTGACGAGATTGGCAGTAGCGAGAAGAAGCTGGAGATTCTACAGGGGATCGGGCATTGGCATTGTCTCGAAGCGTTTGAACAGGTCGCCAGCATGATTGAGGCGTTTTACCACGAGATCCAGTGAACAAGGGAGGGGTGTGAAAGGCATTAACACGGTCATTATTAACGTAGAAACGATGCACGAGCCAGTCGTTACGGTGAGAAACGGCGGGGAGAAAGGAAAAAGTTCAAACAATGTGTCTGTGTTGAAGTTGTGGTTTATTGAGCAACGGCCATCATGAGGGCGGGTCAGCATCGAAACAAGTGCCAAATCATACCGCTCTTTGGTCAATCAGCCTTTACGCGGTGCGTGCCTGTGGAATCGACGACGGGTTCGTGAGAAGCGCACGTGCGAAGCCGATCTCCCAGAAGACTGCATGCAGCTGCTAGCCAAGTCAAGTAAGCCGTGCGGGCAATCTTTTGGGAGGGCGTGGGTGCTGGTAATGCCCATGCCGCATGACATGATCATTGGCGCCAGTCCCTGCGCCAGGTCTGCTGTATTGGCGCGGCCCTTGTTGGCGCCCTCTCCTTCCTGGTTCCCCCTTGGCTCTTTTTTTTTCTGCTCGTCTGGTTGCAGCGGAGATGGAGAGGGAAGGGGGAGGGGCCTGTAAGCAGTAAGACGGCGGGCCGCGTTTCCACTGCACTTGACAACCACCTGGCGGCAAATCTCCAGCAGGGAGAAAACAGGTACATATGTAAGTATATCTTTAGACCCATGCACAGCACACATGTAAACGCCGTCCCGCCAGCGTGGGATTTGGTCCTCATGTCACGACCCTTACGGCCCCTCCCTCCCTTCCACCATCGACTACGCGTATGCCATGCGTAACGCTACTACTGGTAGCCTTGCCCTTCGATCATCAACGTTGTCCGCGCCAGGTAAGTTGCTTGAGTCGGGCGCGTGCATCTTGGCTTCGCGGTGACTGGTGTATCGCTCTCTTGTTTGATTCGGTCCTTCCCGCCGTCCATGCAGGCTTCCACACGGCCTGTCTAGTGTGTGGCTCTAGTCAGTAGTGTACACGAGGCTGCTGCTCCTTGCCACTTGATATCCTCTGGGACCGCACATCCCTTACCCCAACCTGTCACAAGGCCAGTCACAGCCAGCCTATGAATCTGCCTCGTTGCCGTTATCTGCCCTCACACCCACTCACAACACAGTTTTTTCTTCACATGTCAAGCATGATGACATCGTCACCATACTTGCCGAAAGAGAGACACCCCCCAGATCCTTTGTTTAAACTCTCTTTCTATGATTGCGTGCGACCTCATCTGTGACATATTTAGTGCACCTGGCATGCTTTGTCTCAAGACGCACGGAAGCTAACCTCAAATCCCCTTCCCCAGTTTTATTTCTCATATCGCTCCACTAAGTCTGCTTTCAAATACCTTGTCCCCGCGCACGATCAAACCAATCTTGTGAGGCGGTGAACTGGAACCTCTTTTTTTTTTTCCCTCGCTACAGCCCGCCCACGCGCTCGGCTCAGCAGCCGCGGAAAACGCTTTGTTGCAGAGGCCGTTCGGTCGCGCTGCATCTTACTAGGTACGGGTCTGGACCAGCCAACCAACGGCTCACGTTTACGTTTTGGTCGTTCGGAGCCGCTTCTCTCTATATACTTAGTCGTAGCCGCCTTCGCCTGTCTGTCTGATCGTGTCTGTTGATTCCAATAGTTCCAGGCGAGTCGCGCATACCACTGCGTCACTTGACTGGGCTCCCAACAAACTACTTGGTGTTCGCATATCCTCGTTTGCGACTTCGGCCTTCTTCTCTTCTGCTCTCCGTCTCTACTGCACTTTTTTCTTTCTCTCTCACCCGCGCCTGTCTATGAGTGAGGTTTTTCGTCCGTTTGCGCCCGCTATCAATAGTCTCTCTGTTTCACATCGCGTGTTGGCACTGGCTGCTGGTATGGGCGTCTTACCCCTTGAGCACAGGACTTGCCTGATTTGGATACTAACTACCAATGCAGACGATTATCCGAGATTATCAACGACTAAGTCGATATTAACGGCAGCTTAACGTTCCATATATCCCACATCTACGTCACGGCCCTTTTTTTCAGCTACTTTCTAAACCGTCCTCTTACATGGATCGACAATGGACCGAATAGATAGTGGATTCGCTGGATCTCAACATTCAAACATGGCCAGCGAAAAACCAGTGTTACTTCACAGGAGCAACACGACATCTATCCACCAGCGGACATCTAAGAAATCGGCTCTCGAGCCCTCCTCGTCTTCTGTCCAAGTCGCGAATATGGAAACCCGTCGACCCGTATCAGAGCAGCGCTCAAGACCTCTACGCCAACAATCCACAACCTCGTCCGAGAACTCAACCAATCGATCCAAAAGCCGCGGTCATGGCTCCAAACCCTCGTCCAGACGCACCTCTTGCACCATAGTCGACCCTTCGCGCCCAGCGCGCCACTACCGCGTAAAAAGCTTCCAAACCCCACCCACAGCCGACATTGACGACGTGCTCGCCCTGCACTTCCGCAGCTGCAGTATCTTCTCCAACCCTTCCTACCAAACCAACTCTGGCCTCCCTTCTCCTACACTCCCCCACGGCGACGTGTTCGGCTTCCCCAGCAACCCCAGCACCACGCGCTTCAGCACCGACACTTTGCGCGTCGTCCAAGAATCCGACGCGCACAACCACCACCATCAACGTCCCACCACCGAGCCCTCCCCTCTCCATGACGACGCCACCACCACCACCACCACCGCTGCTGCTGCTGCCAAAAAAACAAACACAACCATGCACTGGACCTCCCCCTGCACCCGCCAACGCGAATACCAAAGAATCGACAAAGCCAACAGCGGCCTCCGCGGCTTCCTCCGCAGAATAACACCACGATGCGTCTCGGGCCCTCAAGAGAAATTCTACACCAAAGCCGACGAAGATGCGGGGTCTGTGCGGCGTTATCGCATTAGCAATGAGGAATACGAGGAAGATGATGATGACGATGGTGATGGGGAAGAAGGAGAATTCGATTTGCAAGCCATCAAGGAGAAACAGCATGGGAGACCCAGGACGAGTCCTGTGCCGAGGTCAGGGGAGAGACTGGGGGTTAGGAAGAGGTGGATGTGCTTTTAGCTTTTTTTTCCTTTTCTTGGGAGGGGTGGAGGTGGAGTGGGGGAGGGGGGGGGACTATAGCGCGCCTCTTTCTTTGGATACCTCCGCCGCGCATCTACCTGCTTCCTTCTCCTCTTGTTTTTTTATTCCTTAACGCAGCGATGAAGGGGAGTTTGCTCGGCGTATCGTTGCTTACGACCTTGTCTTCTCTCTCTCTCTCCTTTTTTGCTATCGCAAGCAAAATCGAGATGACAAGGCCGTATCTCTTTTCCCTATCTCCTTTTCCGGGTTGGTTCTTTTTTGTTTTTTGTTTTGTTCGGAGTCTTCGGTTTCCCTTTTTTTTTTCTCACTATCACGATACCCACGGCATTTATATGTTTGCGTGCGAAAGTCTTTTTTTATCAATTATTAGCGGTTGCAGAAGGAAGAAGCGAAGGAGGAAGAAGAGAGAGGGAGTGAGAAAGCATTATACCACCTTAACGTTACCTAGAACTTAGAAGATGGGGACCGAAATTTTGTAATTTGTAGTTAGTTATTGAACTTTATCAAGTACATCTGCATGTCACTCTACATCACCATACCATGTCACGCGCACAACCTCAGCGACACAGCCAAAGAAAAAGGCGTACGTAGTACGAAAACAACTTCAAATCTCATATTGTAAATCTAACCCACTTATAATTTGGCCTCCTCCTTCACACTCCCAATCTTAAGCTTAGGCGCATACTTCTTCAGCACATGCTCATTGTGGTACTATCATATCTGTTAGCTTTCTCTCCTCAACACTCCCAAGCGCACAACTCCCCCTTCCTTCCCCACCCCTTCTCTCCCTCTCAAAAAAAGAAATATATGACAGACGACGTACCTTCCAAAACTGCTTACTAGCATCCTTGCCCCCCACCCTCTTCAGAATCTTTGAGCCACCGGGGTGCTCCTCGACAAACTCATCCATCTTATACACATCGCCGTCGATGATAATGTACAGACCCGTCTCCACCGTGTTGTGCTCGGCGACTTGCTTCGTGGTCAGGGATTCAGACATCGTGGATGTTGTGTTGTGTTGTATGCGCGCGTGTCTCGGGTTAATCGGTCGCGAAGGTGCGATTAGGGATTATAGTGGTACTAATAAGCCGCTGTATATGTATGTATGAGTGTAAACGTAAGCGCGCACGTATTTCGTGAGAACGGTGAAGAAGGGGGAGGCGGAGAAAAAGGTCCGGGGTTAACGTCTTATGGAGCGAGGTTGGGGGAAGGGAAACTGGGGCGGTATGGATGTGGAGATGTTTTGTCCCATGTGCCGAGGTTGAATCGAGATACCCGCCAAGACTCACCGGCGAAGCAACGAGTAAGCTATTTTGTGGCGGTTGTGATTGGTTTGGGCTAAACTGCTGTAATTGGACCTTGAATGAAACGTTGTATTGTGCCATTTTTGCGACATGTTGATTTTCAAGCACGTGAGCGATGGTGCAATGTCTGACAAAAGGAACAGGTGAGGTTGCGCTGGTAAGCACGTCATTCCCCTGGTATCCCTGCTGCATGTTTATCTAAACGGGTAATCTTCCTATCTATCGTGGTGAGGCTTGGGCAAAGGGCATGTCCACTTCGACAACTTTATTGACCTCGTTTTATCCCTGACAAGGACAATGGAGTATGTGTGGGATACGGGAATCACTATATCGTCTCTAGTAGACCTTACACCAACATCTTCGTGAGGGGAAAGGAATCGCAGTGTAGCCCAGTTTATCGGCAGCGCAATCCGCGTGACTTAGAAATAGGAAAGAAGGACAAGCAACACAACGCCGACGCCCATGGCCTATGCTGGTGGGAATTCTCACCAACACCATTCCCATTGACTTCCGCGGAAGGTGATATACCTAGCACCCTGTCACAGAACTTAATAAGGACTGTTGACAATGTCATTGCGACCAAGATAGCTTCCTCGCACTCCACTCCTCCTTGCAGCCCCAACGCGACTTGGTGTTGCGATGCTTTCTCTCGTTGGTCGTTGCAGTGCCCTCTTTGCAACCATATCAACCTCATTTGGTAGTGCAACGATCAAATTCTTATCGGAGCCGAACTTGAAGTTGTCGGCCTTGACCTCTTCAGAGTAGCGCTTGATGCTGTACGGATCTTTGCGATTAGCAAGAACCTTCTTGAGGCTCCAGGTAACAATAAAGGGACCAGTAGCCGTGATGATGGTGGTTTCTTTTTCGTCAAGACCCGTGTTAAAGTGTGCAGTGGTGAAGGAAATTGGAAGTTTGGTTTCGTGCTGGAATTGGGCAACGTGTGCTGGTGTGAGTGCGAGACGACGGGGTTGTGGTTTGTCGTCCTTTGCGAATGACTTTTCGAAACCAAGTTTGCCATCGTTCTTGCCGCCTTTTTGGAGCGCATCGATGAGAAGAAGGTAGGTTCGTGTAGTAGCGAGTACCCAACGACCGTCTGCAGAGACATCCATGCCAATAATTGGATCTCCTAACGCGGGGATAAGAGTCTTTGCGTTGATACCAAGCCTGTCAAACAGACGGATATCTCCTTTCTCGGACGCTACAGCAATGTGACCCTTGGCGGTAGTCGCAGCCGCAGAGAACGCATTCTTGGTGGCGTATTGTTTCAGCTGGTCATCAACAAGCTTATTGCCAGCCAAGCGAGGGTCTACGCGGTAGAGCGCATTGCCAGAAAGTCCTAAGAAGGTTTGCTCGCCACTCATTTGGGCGAATTTCTGTGTACCGTTAGTTTACGATACAATATTTGGAAATCATGATTGTACATACGTTTTCTGGTGCAAATACCTTGACCGGAATGTCGTCGTGCACCTTCCATTCGTCCACAACAGTACCGGTCTCAAGATCCATCCGGTAGAGGTTATTGGGGTTCTCAAGGTTCTGCAAAATCATATCTCGATCCTGCTGATGAAGCATGACCTTGTGAGGGTTGAAGGCCTTGCCCTTTGGAGTTTTGATGTTTGAAATAGTGGTTGAGAACTGCAGCTGATTATCGGGAGTGTGCTTGAAAACACCAATCTTGTCGCCTCGCACAACGAACGACCTGTCATGCTTGTAGCCTACAGCCAGCTGTGAGTTCTCGTCTCCATCCTTGGGGCGAGTCTCGACATCGTCCTCAGACTCATCTGAATCGTAGTGTTCACTACGCTGGTCGCTGGTCTCCTCGTCCTCTTCTTCATATTCTTCCTCTTCTTCCTCCTCTTCTTCTGGAACATCCTCCATGGTCAAATCCTGGAATGCTTCCAGAACGTACTCGCGATCGGTGTCCTTTGCCTTGCCCCATTTCATCTTGTTCAAATGCTCCCAAAGCGCTTGCATGACACCCTGCTGTACAACCTCGAGTTCTTCTTGATCATTGAATTTTAGAAGCCATGAGTATGCAGAGCCGTCTTCCAGGTAGTGATTGAAGATGAACGACTTGTATTCATAGTTGAAGACTGGGTTGATATCCTCCACAATGGGCTGTCCAAGCCACTCGCGCTCCTCGCCAACAATGTGTAACCAGTAGTTCCAGTCGCCGATCTCCGTCACAGTAACATTGACCTTAGGGTCCTGTCTAATGAACGTGCCCGAGGGGAAATCGAAAAGGTGGAGCTCGGCATCGCCCTCAACCAAGGTTTCGAGGGCTTGTGGCTGCGCGGCAGATGGTGGAGCGGTTGTGGCATCTTCCTGCTCTGGAACAGTGACCTTACCAGCAACCTTTTTCTTCATGTTTTCCTTTGTAGTGTTTGGAAAGAGGTCTTCGGTAGTTGGAGGTTCGATCGGTCGGACGAAGGTGGTCGAGCTCGTGGGGCTAGCAAGGGGGCTTGCGTCAGGAATGGGCTCTTCGTAGTAGGCGAGCGCAGCAAGGTCGTCTTCAGTCGCGTGTTCGTGACTTCGCCTGAACTTTCTCTCGTACTGGCACTGCAGGGCAACACGCTCAAAGAGAGCAGCGGTCTCAGGCTTGACTGAAGGGTCACAGACAAACTCCCAGAGGTCGTCAACGTCGCCACTCAGGTCGCGCCAGGCAAAGATCTTCTCGCCGGTAGAGCGTACGTCGTCACGCAATCGGAGGTCCTCGTCAAGCAGGAAAGTCTTCTCGTCCTTGTCTCCAGCTAGCGCATCTAACGCTGCGTCCTCGTCCTCGCCGGCGAGCAGGTCCTCCTCACCCTCCTCGTATGCGCGCTGGACAACGAGCTGGTACTGGAACTCTTGTCCTGTGCGGCGGATGGTGGCAGCGGCGTCTTTGAAGATAAGCTCCGAATAGCCCTTGACAGAGCGAGGTCGAACAAGATAGAGTTGGCCCTGGGGGATTTCGACGATGGTTTCCTTGGAGTTATCACCAAAGACAAGTTTACCCACTGATGTTACAAAGTTAGTGTCGCAGCAACGGCGGGGGAGGGGCATGCGCAGGTGAGAGCAAGCAACGAGCAAACAAAGCGGCACTCACGGTTTCGGAGCATGAACATGGCGAGGGCGCGGTATGGCTATAGGATGACGAGCTGAGCTGGTCGTAAAACTCTAGGAAAACTGCGCGTTAAAGCCCATCCAAGAAAAAGCGACAGGCGCGGGCTACAAGGCAGAGGCGTACAATCATCACGACGGCAAGGGTCCGGTATGCAATCGCTCGCTTAAGCAACGTCATGCTGGCCTAGCGGCAGGCAGCAAGCACTACTCCCCACCACCCAAGCCAAGGACCACAGACATGTGTCTTGCCAAGCATCATCGTACGTAGGCGTAGAGCCAGTAAAGCACTGGTGCCAATCATTTTAATTATTCATTTCATTACCTCTGTACGCCGATCCGTCCGTCATTCCCAGAAAATACACTTTCATAGTGCCTGTCCCATCGCTACTGCAAAAACTATACAAAAAGATTACTTCGTCGCTTTTTTTTACCGTTAGATCAACATAGGAGCAAGAAAAAACAAAAAAAGAAGCCAGGGATGTTGCGATATCCATCGCCCGCTCCATCCCGGGTTGCCGCCTTTAAGCCTATTTGGGTATCATGAATCGCCTTTGCTTGCCAATACATCCTCCCCCCGCACCTGTTCTTACGGCGACTTTTGCGCGCCCCATACAATGCTCTCCATGAGAGCATATGGAGAAGAGTCCAGCTCCAAACCGAGCAGTGGAGACTGGGAAAACATATTTTCATTGTCGTTACTCAGTGCGTTGTTGATGTCTTGCGCCGTAAAGACGTGCATAGTGGGCGATGCTTGCGAGCCAGTCTCGCTGGTCTTGCGTGTGTGCGTTGATGTGATACTGAGCAGCCGCTCAAGCGCCGAGACAGATCTTGTGATAGGCGTCGCGAGCTCAGCAGGATCGACGTCCTTGGTAACATCCGTGAGGACTTGTATCACGTTCTGCAAAAGTCCTCGTGCACGTTCATTACGATTATGCTCACCGAGAATCCCAAGCAAAAGGGCTGAGCTGAGAGAGCGGTGCACGGCAGACCACGATCGTGTTGCAAATGGCGTCATGTTTTGAAGGCCGAGAAAAGCCTCAACAGTATTGGTCAAACTGTCGATGCATGTCTTGCGCAGTGTCTTCGAAAGGTCAAAATTGGCTGTGGCTGGACTGATGGCTGGTCGACACAGCTCCGAGGTGACATATGAAATGTGGAGATACAATGCCCAGTGCTCCAGTTGATCTCGCATAGACCGGCATCTCCTCGAGTCTTTCAGATAGTCTGCTGCGTCTATCATGATTTCTTGAAGCTCGTTCCGATGCTCGGTGATCCTCATCAAAGCATCGTGCGAGTTTTGTGGCCGTTGACGCTCGCGCACAATGTCGAGACCTACTTTGCACAAGCGATACATGCTCTCGACATATGTTCTTGTGCCTGGTGCCGTGTGCTGGCTCATTGGTACCGTGTGATCGATGGTAGTAGTCGACGAAGCCCTGTCGTATGAGACAGAAAGTAGCGAGTCTTGCCAAAGTAGTGCCCACCACACCTTGCTCCGAATGACCTTCTGTTGCATTGGAGTTGATGGTGGGCATTGTCGGTGTAATCCTAGTGTCTGGGAAAGGCGAACAGTCAAGCCCATCAGACTCCAAGC